AGTTTTGGCGCCGTTGCCAGGGACTGGTGGCATCGCCTTTAGGTTTAAGATAAGAGTGTAGACTAGAATTTTCTTTTTTTTTGCTTTCTATTTTTTTTTTTTATTCTTGTGTGTTTCATGTACTTGTACTCAAGAAAGAATAGAAAATGCATTAAATTGCCTATGTAGAAGATACATTAAACTGTCTTAAGCCTCTATATAAAGATGGATATGTACCAACTCTTAAAGATGCGGTGGAGTTTTTATGGATCCTAGATATGGATAAATCTGATGAGAGACCTTAGCCAAATTAAACGAGTTAGGCATTGAACCCAAGGCCATATTTGCCATGAAAAGGAGTGAATTAGCAGTTAAGTTGCGATTAAATCTCATCTCACACCAAGCATCACTAGAAGGAAGAAAGCTCACACCTTATGAGATAAAAGTAGCTTCGTGAACTCAAAGAGGTAATATATTGAGTTCCACCATACCAACTAAAAGGTACACTCGATTCAACCTTTGAACTTTATGATTATGAGAATAGTCACATGCGCATTAATGATGCATCTTCTAGTTTGAAAACTCATATTATCATTGATGAATGCTATGATTTGATAAGTGAAACATAATTCAAAATTCTTTTAAAGCTGAGAAGCTTGTTAGGAATCATCACCAAATGTGTTTAAAGTTAGATTATATGCGTTCTCTAGATATTAATGATCACCATCTAAAAACTTCAATACTTGATGAATGTTACCTAGGACATATGCTTCACATAGATACAATCTTGAAAGAGATAGAGAACTCTAAGGTTTAGATAGGTTCTAGTAATGAGAATATTGAGTTATACATAACTAACGACGATGAGGTTGACTATTTTGTGAAAACATCGGTTGAGCCTAAAATTGATTTTACCTTTCCATCAAATGCATTTGAGTATCATGACCATCTAACCAAGGATCATTCCAAGATATATGCTATGTTTTGCAATACACTTCCTTGCAGGAAATTACGTTACTTTTCTATGGATAATTGTGTACTATCTTGCACCTTTTGTTTCTACAAAAATAGGAGAAGAACAAATGGTGCATTGGCTCAACCTTTTGATTCTCATTATTAGCATCACGT